GTGGCGCATGCCTGTAATCCCAGCTACTCAGGAGGCTGAGGCAGAAGAATTGCCTGAACCCAGGGGGCGGAGGTTGCGGTGAGCCGAGATCGCACCATTGCACTCCAGCCTGGGTAACAAGAGCGAAACTCTGTCTCAGGAGGAAAAAAAAAAAAAAAAAAAAAAAACTGCACTGTACTCAGGAAATAATTCAAAGACGATCCCCCTTATTCTCCTGGGATTATAAATAAGCTAGTTTTCTTAATTTCAAATATGCAGGCTGGGCACAGAGGCTCATGTCTCACTTTGGGAGGCTGAGGCATCTCTATAAAATATTTCAAAAAAAAAAAAAAATAGCTGGGGATGGTGGCCTATGCCTGTAGTCCTGGCTATTTGGGAGGATCCTTTGAGCCCAGGCATTCAAGGTTACAGTGAGCTATGATCATGCCACTGTACTCTATCCTGGGCAACAGAGCAAGACTTTGTCTTTTAAAAAAAAAAATACAAAAATTTAGACAAAAAAAAAAAAATGCAGAAGATAAAGCAATATTCAAAAACCGGTAAGTCCACTAATTCTGACATTCCTTTTAGAACAGAAAATTGCAATTGTTGTTCTCTGTGTAAATTAAAATGTACTTTATATATTTATTGCATTTGTTCCACATTAGAGATTCCCAAATCTGGCTATGTATCCAATCGCCTGGGGAACTATTTTTCTTTTTTTTTTTTTGAGACAGGGTCGCATTCTGTCACCCAGGGTGGAGTGCAATGGGGCACAATCATGACTCACTGCAGCCTCAAACTCCTGGGCTCAAGTGATTCTCCTGACTCAGCCTTCTGAGTAGCTAGGACTATAGGTGAGCACTGCCATGGCCAGCACCCTGGGAACTTTTAAACAGAAGGTTCCTGGAACCCATTTCCTAAAGATTTCAATTTGAGAAGTCTGGACTAGAAGTCAGAAATCAGAATACATAATATAATATAAAGTTCATGTTAGAGTATTAAAGGAATTCCTACTATAGGAATTGGTCCCATATTTCAAGTGCTTTCCAAACTTCACTTAACTGTGCACACAAATCAATTGGAGGTATTACTAAAAGTCAGATTCTGATTCAGAAGGTCTGGAATAAAACCTGGGAATATGCAGTTCTGACAAGCTCCCAGGTCCAGGGGCCACACTCTGAGTAGAAGACCTCATGAGATTTTTATTGTATTTTTTTTTTTTTTTTGAGACGGAGTTTCGCTCTTGCTACCCAGGCTGGAGTGCAATGGCGCGATCTCGGCTCACCGCAACCTCCGCCTCCTGGGTTCAGGCAATTCTCCTGCCTCAGCCTCCTGAGTAGCTGGGATTACAGGCAAGTGCCACCGTGCCCAGCTAATTTTTTGTATTTTTAGTAGACACGGGGTTTCACCATGTTGACCAGGATGGTCTCGATCTCTTGACCTCGTGATCCACCTGCCTCGGTCTCCCAAAGTGCTGGGATTACAGGCGTGACCCACTGCGCCCGGCCCTTATGAGATTTTTAAACCTTTCCACAGGTGAATGATAGAAGTCAGTATCCTACAGCCAGGTGTGATGGCTCACACCTATAATCCCAGCACTTTGGGAGGCCAAGGCAGGCAGATCACCTGAGGTCAGGAGTTTGAGACCACCCTGGCCAATTATGTTGAAACCCTGCCTCTACTAAATATACAAAAATTAGCCGGGCATGGTGGTGCATGCCTGTAATCCCAGCTATTCGAGAGGCTAAGGGAAGAGAATTGCTTGAACCCAGGAGGCAGAGATTGCAGTAAGCCAAGATTATGTCACTGCACTCTAGCCTGGGCAACAGAGAACAACTCTGTCTCAAAAATAAATAAATAAATAAAATAAAATAAGTCAGTATTCTAGGCGTTTCCCATGGAAATATTTTCAAGTTTTACCTGAACATCCTTTTTTACCTAAACATAACTAGAGTACACAGCTTGTAAAATGATTGACTTATCTTTACTATGTACCCTACTACCAAGTGAATGGAAATTATTTTCCTTATTTACAGATGGTATCACTAAAAGTTGAGTGCTACTGATATCACAATGCAGGGATGAAATTAAAATTTACATAACTTTCAATATTATACACAAGGATTTTCATCATAGCCATGGTTACAATAGTAAAATAATAGAGAGAAAAACCTTGACAGGGTGCAGTGGCTCATGCCTGTAATCCCAGCACTTTGGGAGGCCAGAGCAGAAGGAGCGCTTCAGCTTAGAAGTGTGAGACCAGCTTGGGCAAAATAGTAAGGCCTCATTTCTACAAAAAATAAAAACACTGTTAGCTGAGTGTGGTGGTACGTCTGTAGTCCCAGCTACTAGGGAGGCTGAGGGGAGAGGATCGCTTGAGCCTAGGAGGTTAAGGCTTCAGTGAGCCAAGAAGACACCACTGCATTCCAGCCTGGACGGCAGTGTGACATTACATCTCTCAAAAAATAAAAAGCCCTATATATCCAACAATAAGGGACTGCTTAAATAACCTAGAAGAACCTTGTAATGAAACACTAAGCATCTATTTTAAATAATTATGTAGGCCAGGCACGGTGGCTCACACCTATAATCCCAGCACTGTGGGAGGCCGAGGAAGGCAGATGGCTTTAGCCCAGGAGTCCGAGACCAACCGGGACAACATGATGAAACCCCGTCTCTACTAAAGATACAAAAACAAAAGTAGCCAGGAGTGATGGCATGTGCCTGTAGTCCCAACTACTCGAGAAGCTGAGGTGGGAGGATAGCCTCAGCCTGGGAAGCAGAGGTTACAATGAGCCCAGATCATGCCACTGCACTCCAGCATGGGCGATAGAGTGAGACCCTGTCTCAAAAAATAAAATGAAATAACATAAATAAAATAAATAAAAAACAGAAAATGGGGGGTGGCGGTGGAAGGCGGGAGAACATCAGGGAGAATAGCTAATGGATGCTGGGCTAAATACCTAGGTAATGGGATATCTATGCAGCAAACCACCATGGCACGCATTTACCTACGTAACAAACCTGCACATCCTGCACCTGTACCCCTGAACTTAAAATCTGGAAATCAAAAAATAAAATTTAAAAAGAGAAAAAATTAACTACGTAAATAAACACTTACAAAAATACATAAATAAATATACCCTTAAAAAAACTAAAAAATAAAAAAAAAAGAAAAAAAGAGAAAAAAAAAATATACCCTTACTGATAATGAAAAGACATTCAAGATAAGTGAAAATAAAGAGTATAAAATTGTATAGAAAGACTTGTGTATGTGTGTGTGTGTGTGTGTGTGTGTGTGTGTGTATTTACCAGAAAGATGTATATACTAAAATGTTCAAAGCATTGTACTCAAAGTACTAGAATTTTAGGTGATTCTGATGCTTGCTTGCCTGCATGATCTAACATTTCTACTACAATGTATACCACATAAAATTCTTAAAGGTTAAAAAGCAGGTGAGAAGAAAACCAAGCAAACTCCACACATGCACGTACCTTTTGAAGCCCGCTCGATTGGGTCTGACTGATAGGTAATTTGCTTTCCAAAGAGTGTTCAAGGGACTCCCTAAATTAGAAGCACTTAGAAAGTTTTTAAAAATTGCAGTCTTGTACCCCAATCCAGACTTATTAAATCAGAATTTGTACCAATAGGCCCCAGAATTTGCATATGAAGCAAATACCGACTCTTTTATAGACAGTCAAGTTTGGAAACCATGGCATTAAACAAAAAGCTTCCTAGAAATTCAGAAACCTGGACTAAATTCCAACCTATCTGAACAGAAACCTACAGCAAATTCAGAATGAGTGAAATCATGGTGTTTTCATACATATACATCTACACTCACAGAGACTACTGGAATCTGAACAACAAAAACCTGTTCTTAGAAACTAGCTTTATTCCATCTTAATTTTAAGCATCCCATGTGATCACTGACCATTTCCCATGGGTTGACTGAGGTCACAAAGGTTTTCCTTATATTTGACCCACATCTGTCTAAAACTCTTCTCATTATAACCCCTTCTATGATGCTCTGTCCCTATTTGGTTCTTCATAATGAAAAGTACTACATGAACATTTATTATGGAACCAAATATGAAGGCAATTCAGTCATTCTACTGCTGCTTTCATTTCTCCTTTCTACACACATTTTAGCTGAATAACTTTAATAGATTTTGCTGATTATTTCTTCCAGAGATACTCTCTAAGTTAAATTCAAAGGCATCATGAGCTTCTATCAATAAAGGTTCTCAAGGAATCAAGTAAAACCTTTCCAGTTCTGAAAAACAGGACATGAACCCCCAAAATGTTGTCCAAAGAAAAAGAAAAAAGGTATATACCACAATGAATATATTTCCCTATCATACTCTCGAGTACTTAGTACGACAATCAACTCATAAGTCACTTATTTATGAAGTTTTCAAAAGGAGACATTAAGAAGTTGGGGACTTTCCTAAAGCTAACAAATTAAAACAATTTTTCCAAAAGAAAGTCATGATAGGCCAGGCATCATGGCTCACGCCTGTAAGCACTTCGGAAGGCCAAGGCGGGAGGATCACCTGAAGTCAGGAGTTCAAGACCAGCCTGGTCAACATGGTGAAACCCTGTCTCTAAACAAAACAAAACAAAAAATTAGCAGGGCGTAGTGGCATGCGCCTATAATCCCAGCTATTTGGGAGGCTGAGGCAGAAGAATCTTCGAGGCAGAGGTTGCAGTGAGCCGACACTGCACCATTGCACTCCAGCCTGGGTGACAGAGCAAGATTCTACCTCAAAAAAAAAAAAAAAAAAAAGCCATACAGATTTTTCCCCCCTTTAAAACAGAAAAGAAAACAACAGGAGAAAAAAAAAGTTTGGCGTGAGCTCCTAAGAGGATATAGGAAAGGACCATAATTTGTAGGATGTGAGGGACAAGCCCTTCATTTTATTTTAATCCATGATACATTTTAATCATGGATGACGCAGAAGGCCAGGCCAGCTAAAACTTGAATTTATTATAACCAAGAAGATTATATACCTACCTGCAGCTCACACCAAGCAACCTCAACCCATGTTTCAGTGTCCAGTCCTTTATACACTGTTTTAAATGCTCCCCTTCCTAATTCTATGTCAAATTTCAGGAATCTGCCACTAGGAGAAGTAGCTACAGCTTTCATTTCTGCTTCTTCTTCCATTTCCTTTTCATTTTTCTCCTTGAAACAATCTTTTGAGATTTCCGAGGTTGACTTTGAACACTGTTCATATTTAACTTCTTGTCCACCTCTCAGCACATTTGAAGGAAGTTTATCTACTCTTGGAACATTCGTTGCAGCCTTTATTCTCTCATCTTTCGGGGACGATTTGGCAACTTTGTCATCTTCCGTCATTTCAACACTCTTTCGGAAAAATCTCTTCCTTTCTACGGTTTCCCCAGAAGCAGAGAAGGTGCTGTTTTTCTCCTTTAGTCTGGCGTCTACTGTCAAAGTTGCAGCAACTTGAGGAACTCTGTTTTCAAGTGAAATTCCATCAGGTTTCTCAGAATCTTCTGTGCTGGCTGGATCTCCTGAATCAGTGGCCATTGTAATTAAAGTTGGCACTAAAATTTTTCCTGTTTCTAGTCTTCAGTCCAGTTACATCTCAGGTATCAGAATTATTAAAATGGACTTCCTTTTGTGTGGTCATATGTTTCTATAGCAACCTGAAGAGGGGAAAAGGATATTTTAAAATCACCCTACAAAGGAAATCATTAAGGAAAAAATAAGTCACCTGATTTTTAATCCTTTTTTCCTTAATAAGAAGTTTATTCTTTTTTCTGTCCCATCTTAGCAACCAGCAGACTCTAGGGACTGTGTCTTATCTTGTTTACCATTAGTCCTCAGTGCCTAGTAGGCTACTTAGTATATACCTTGATCTGTCTTCATATTGCATGAATATTGGTTAGAAACCTAGTTCTCAGCTCCATCTGTCAATCCATCAAATTCAAAACAAGTACCCAAACCCTGAGTTCACTTAGCCACAAGGTGACAAACACAGTAAGTAAAACAACCACATGGTTTCTAGGTGGTTTTTGTCTAAAATTCCAGAATTCATCAATAGTAGTTTCTTTTATTGTACTAAAATATACATAACGTCAAATTTACCATTTTTAAGTATACAATTCAGTGGTGTTAACTACATTCATAGTGTTGCGCAAACATCACTACTATCCATGCCCAGAGCTTTTTAATCATCCCAAATTGAAACTCTGTACCCATTAAACAATGATTCCCTATCAGCTCTCACCCACCCCTGGTAACTTCGACTTTCTGTCTCTATGAATTTGCTTATTCTAGGTAATTCATATAAATGTAATCAGATATTTGTCCTTTTGTGTCTGGCTTATTTCACTTAGTATAGTATTTTCAAGGTCTACTGATGTTGTAGCATGTATCGGAATTTCATTCCTTTTTGAGGCTGAATAATATTCCATCATATTAGTTATAGACCACATTCTGTTCATCTCATTCATCTGCCAGTAGATTGAATTGTTTCCACCTTTTGACTGTTGTGAATGTTGCTGCTATAAACAACTGACAGTAATTTTAAATAATGCAAAGATTTATAAGCTTACCTTCAGATTTTAACAGAAACTGTTGTCAAATATTAATATACTATCCCAAAACAATAGCAAGAAAGACTCAAAACCATGTATTCTTTTAAACTAGCAATTCTACTTATAGGAACTTGCCTTAGAAAATAGTCAAGAATCTGTGCAAAAATTTAACTATAAAGATGTTCGTTCTAGCACTTATGGAAAAAACAAAACATAAGCCTAATTGGTGGTTAATTAAGTTTTTCAAAATGAGCTATGCCACGGCATTAAAAATAACACTGTAGGCTGGGAGCAGTGACTCACACCTGTAATCCCAGCACTTTGGGAGCCCAATGTGGGTGGATCACTTGAGGTCAGGAGTTCAAGACCAAACCAGCCTGGTTTAGTGAAACCTTGTCTCTACTAAAAATACAAAAAAAAAAAAAAAAAAAAAAAATAGTAGGATGTGGTGGCAGGCGCCTGTAATCCCAGCTACTCAGGAGGCTGAGGCAGGAGAATCACTTGAACACGGAAGGCAGAGGCTGCAGTGAGCTGAGACTGCGCCACTGCACCACTCGAGCCTGGGCGACAGAGACTCTGTCTCAAAAACAAACAAACAAACAAACAAAAAAACAAAAAAACACACTGTAGTCTTCAGTGAGATAAAAGACGTTCCCTATATATTATATGGCTAAATGTAAAAAGGAATATATACAAGCTTATAGACATAACTCTGGAGTTATGGATTTTTCTTCCTGCTTTTTTTGTATTTTCTAAAACTTTGGACAATAAACATGTGAAAATACGTGGAAAAAAGTTTTTCAAGTGAGTGGCTAAATCACCAATATGAAAATGCTTCCCTTTTCACCACAATCACACACTGCAAAGTTAAGCCTGTATACTTCTTACTATGTTAGGCACCTCGAAAAGCACAATTTGTCAAAAACAATTTGTTGAGAATTATGTGAAACGGGCCAGGCACGGTGGCTCACGTCTGTAATCCCAGCACTTTGAGAGACCAAGGTGGGCGGATCACTAGGTCAGGAGTTCGAGACCAGCCTGACCAACATGGTGAAATCTCGTCTCTACTAAAAATACAAAAATTAGCTGGGCATAGTGGTGCGCACCTGTAATCCCAGCTGCTCAGGAGGCTAAGGCAGGAGAATTGCTTGAACCCGGGAGGCAGAGGTTGCAGTGAGCCGAGATGGAGCCACTGAACTCCAGCCTGGATGACAGAGCGAGACTCCATCTCAAAAAAATAAAATAAAATAAAATAAAAATAAACAAAAGAGAGACAAATACTCCAAGTTGTTCAACACATTCAATGCACTTCAACGAAATTTCAGCTGGTTTCTTTGCAGAAAACATCAAGCTAATCCTAAAATGCATATAGAATTTCAAGGGACTCATAATAATCAAAGCTAACACAATCTTGAAAAAGAACAAATTTGGAGGACTCACACTTCTTGATTTTAAAACCTACTACAAAGCTACAGTATTGAGACAGTATGGTCCTGGCGTAAGAATAGCTATATAGATAAATGGAATAATAATTGAATCCAGAGATAAACCCACATTATTTATGGTTAATTAATTTTCAAGAAGAATGGCGGGATGTGGTGGCTCATGTCTGTAATCCTAGCACTCTGGGAGGCCAAGGAGATGGACTGCCTGAGCTCAGGAGTTCGAGACCACCCTGGGCAACATGATGAAGCCCTGTCTCTACTAGAATACAAAAAAAATTAGCCAGGTGTGGTGGCCAGCGCCTGTAGTCCCAGCTACTCGGGAGGCTGAGGCAGAAGAATCACTTGAACCCGAGCGGTGAAGGTTGCGAATCTCTTGAACCTGGGAGGCGGAGGTTGCAGTGTGCCGAGATCTCACTGCTGCACACCAGCCTGGGTGACAGAGTGAGACTCAGTCTCCCTGCCACCAAAAAAATCCCACAAGGTTGCCAAGAAAATTCAGTGGGGGTGGGGGCGGGGCACAGTGGCTCACGCCTATAATCCCAGCACTTTGGGAGGCCGAGGCAGGCAGATCACAAGGTGAAGAGACAGAGACCATCCTGGTCAACATGGTGAAACACTGTCTCTACTAAAAAAATACAAAAATTGGCCGGGCGCGGTGGCTCAAGCCTGTAATCCCAGCACTTTGGGAGGCCGAGGCGGGTGGATCACGAGGTCGAGAGATCAAGACCATCCTGGTCAACATGGTGAAACCCCGTCTCTACTAAAAATACAAAAAAGTAGTTGGGTATGGTGGCTCGTGCCTGTAATCCCAGCTACTCAGGAGGCTGAGGCAGGAGAATTGCCTGAACCCAGGAGGCGGAGGTTGCGGTGAGCCGAGATCGCGCCATTGCACTCCAGCCTGGGTAACAAGAGCGAAACTCCGTCTCACAAAAATAAAAATAAAAATAAAAATTAGCTGGGTGTGGTGGTGCACACATGTAGTCCCAGCTACTCAGGAGGCTGAGGCAGGAGGATTGCTTGAATCCGGGAGGCGGAGGTTGCAGTGAGCTGAGATTGCGCCAGTGCACTCCAACCTGGCGCCTGGCGACAGAGCAAGACTGTCTCAAAAAAATAAATAAATAAAAGAAAAGAAAGAAAGAAAAGAAAAAAATTCAATGGGGGAAAGAATAGTCTTTCCAACAAATGGTGCTGAGACAACTGGATATCCACATGCAAAAGAATGAAGTCAGACCCTCCAGTAAGTTTTTCTGGGAAAAAAAAAAAAAAGACTGAGTTGAGTCTCACAGAAAGATAATTAGCTGATCCAGGCAGAGGGAAGATTACAAGCAAAGGCATTAAACAGGCCGGGTGCAGTGGCTCACGCCTGTAATCCCATCACTCTGGGAGGGTAAGGCAGGTGAATCAACTGAGGTCAGGAGTTCGAGACCAGCCTGTCCAACATGGCGAAACCCCGTCTGTACTAAAAGTATAAAAAATTAACTGGGCGTGGTCATGGGCACCTGTAATCTCAGCTATTCAGGAGGTTGAAGCAGAATCCCTTGAACCCGGGAGGCGGAGGTCGCAATGAGTCAAGATGATACCACTGCACTCCAGCCTGGGTAACAAGAGCAAAACTCTGTCTCAAAAAAAAAAAAAAAAAAAAAGAAAAAAGAAAAAAGAAAGGCATTAAACAACATGGACTAAGTATATGAGTGGTATCATGAGCAGTTGTTTACATGCATATCAGAAGCAGGCAGATGAGGACAGAGAAGCAGATAGACACTTTCATGTCATACAATGTAAAACAAGGAGACCCATTAAAAAGCTACTGTAACAATCCAAAAGAGATGATGAGGTTTAAATGAAAATAGTGGCAGGAGGGATATGTTCAAGACACACTAAGGAACTACTAAATGCAAGAAAATTTACTGACTGAATGAATATAGCTGTGAGGGAAAACCAAGAGTCTTACGGTGACTCACAATAATTTGCCAACCAGATGGCATTACTAGGACAAATCTATGAATGTCTTATGAGGTTACATTGCCAAATCAATATACTTCCAAGGTCACTTAATAAGACTAGTATTGCAAGCAAGTGAAAAAAGATAACTAGTTTAACTCTTTCTTTTATTTTTATTGAGACACAGTCTCGCTCTGTCACCAGGCGCCAGGCCAGAGTGCAGTGGCACGAGCTCGGATCACTGCAACCTCGGCCTCCTGGGTTCAATCGATTCTCCTGCCTCAGCCTCCCAAGTAGCTGGGACTACAGGCACACGCCACCACGCCCTGCTACCTTTTGTATTTTTTAGTAGAGAGGGGGTTTCACCATGTTGGCCAGGATGGTTTTGATCTCTTGACCTCATGACCCGCCTGCCTCGGCCTCCCAAAGGGCTGGGATTACATGCGTGAGCCACTGCACCCGACCTTAACTATTTATTTTGAAGTAATTTTTGGTTTTGGGAAAAAAACCTGCAGGAGCATGAAAAGAATCCAGTATTCACCCACGTTCCCCAAATGTTAACCATTTTAGGTGAGATTTTAAACCTCAAGAGCAAAAATCCACAAGGAAGACAAAAGGAATTCTAAGCAAGGAGCCAAATACAGTTAAGTCAGAGAATTTAAGTTGGAAAGTCTTCAAAAATTTTTTACTACAGAACCTATTTTAAAAAATAAAATCTTT